TTTTTGCCTGCAATTCGTACATGCACGCGCGGAGTCACCGGGGGAAGACAGCTACACGGGCAGCGGTCTGCCGTGCGCTCTTGCTGGTCTACCTGTGTGTCGATCCAGGGTCGCACACATGATCTCTCGCCGCTTGCATGGTGCCACTTACTTTGAAATTTCAAAGTCCCTCTGATGCGAGCGCAGGGATCACCCTTTGTCACACCGTGTCACTCAGCAAGTCGCAGCCCCCATTGCTGGCGCGCGCACGAAACGCGCCGTATGGGCGGGGCGACCGTCGCGGATCGTGGAGCGCGCCGCGCCGATCCCGTCCGTGCGTGGCGTCCGCCGAGCCGGCCCCCCGCACGCGAGCCGCGGCCCAGAGATCCCGGGCGCGATTTGGGCGAGATTCGGGCCGCCGCGGGCCGCCTGGCGCCCGTCCGTATGTTTAGGGGCATGCGTTTGCATTCTGTCGCCGCGCCGAATTTTCGTGCCAAATTACAGGCGCCGCGGGGCCGATTCGGCTATGCCCTGGATCGCTGAGCCCTAAGCGCGCACTGCGCCGTAACTACTAGAACCGTCACAACTGCCGATTCTATGCAATCTGGTAGTAAGGGGCGATCTGGTCCTCGTGGCACTGTGAGAGGCTGCCAAGCTGCGGCATGTGCTCTACTTCTCAACTGCCAGCCACGCCAGCGGCGCATACAGTGCAATGGGTGCGCACAACTTGATTGGACCCAAAGACACCGGGGCGAAAGCGCGCATGCTCCGTCAAAACGGGGGCCAGCCTGCGCGCCCGCCGCTGCTGCAATCCCCCCCTTCACACGCCAGCCGAGATGAGAACAGCCACCGAAAGGCCTGTATCTGGTCCAGCTCGCCATATCACTGGTGCCACTGGTTACAAAAGACCGCGACATCCAAGGCCGCCGCGTGCAACCGCAGCCAGATCACAGATTGATCGGCCGGATCACTCGGTGGTCTTGATGATGTCACTGTCCCCGGGGTCGGTGATGGCCAGGACGCTCACGCGGAAGTACTTGCCGCACGCGGTGCCCAGATCCACGTTGTCTGGTGGGAGGGGAGGGCGAGGAGGAGAGGAGGAGCCTGAGGGCTGAGGGCAAGCGGCAGACTTGGGTGCGGCGTGAACGGAACAACAATACGTTCTGATAACAATCACAACCTACAGTCTAAGAACTGACTGCGAGATGCAAGCTTGACGGGACCTCCAAAAACAGCTTGCTGACCGGCCCCACCCTGACATCCGGCCCCCTGCAGCCTGCCTGCCAACGGCATCAAGGTTGCGGGTGCGGCTGGCTGAGAGTTGCTCTGACAGGCGCGGCGGCGTGTGGTGACACTCACTGCCGGTGTAGTGGTGGACGCCAGTCTTGGAGAGCATGGCATAGTACTCGATCTCGGACTTGCGGACCGGGGGGCAGTTGCTGCTCACGATGATGAGCTTGGCTGCGAGGGCAAGGGGGAGGTGTGGATGACCACAGTGAGTCAGCCGCTAGGGGCCGACACCACGCAGCGCAGTCACCACGCCCGCAACACTTTGGATGCCCTACGATGTTGCAAAGCTGCCGCAGACGGGTTGGGCAGGCGCCCCTGGCTGCCGCCGCCGCCGCCGCCGCCGCCGCCGCGTCTGGGAGGCGAGCTGCTGTGCGGCTCATGCGGTACGGGAACCATTGAATGCGCACCCTTGCCGGAGCGCAGGGTCTTGAGGCAGGTCTTGTAGCCCAGCGTGTACTTGCCAGACTTCATCACCAGCGCCAGGCGGCTGTTGATGTTCTCCTGGCTCTTCTTCTGCGGGGTCGCAGCATTCGTGCACCGGCAAGCGGGTGAGCAGCGGTCGCTGCAGCACGTTGCACCGCGCAGTGAGCCACCCGGCAACCTGCCCGTTCGATGCGGCATCTGCAGCAGCGCCCGTCTCAAGTGCAGCAACAGCCAAGGCCCGCACCGTCTTCTTGGACGCGGCGGCCACCATTTTGTCGAGCTTGCCTCCTTCTCAGCCCTGCGTGCACAAGGTTTGCCGTCACCATCATAACAGAGCCACCACCAAAACGCACTCTCGCAGGCGCTGGCAAGGGTGCCAGGCCAGGGGCAAGAGAGCCGTCGGAGCGGTCTGCCTGAGCGACGTAAGCCAAGCACCTGGGGCTCCAGAGGTTGATATTGACAGATAGGAAAGAGGGAGACGACGTGCAGGTGGCAGGTCTACTTGCCGTCGATTTCGACGTTTCGGGCCCTTTGTCACCCAGGCTGGTGCCCTGGAAACGACTGAACTGGCCCTGATACAGACAAGCCCATGCCGTACTCAATCATGAGCATGCTGCGTCTTTGCTGTTCCCCACTGATCCACACCCACGCTTGTAGATAGATCGCTGATCCACGCTTGCGGTCAAGTGAGCATCCTGTCCAGGTCATACATTTGCAGAGTATCGTCAGCAATGAGTAGGCGGCGGCAGCGCCTGCCGGCAAAGGAACCCAAGCTTGGCGCCATCTCGCACAAGGTGGGGGCTTGTGAATGCGTGCCGCCAGATGGCCACGCGCAGTGATTGCGGCGTGCCGCAGCACCATGCACGAAGGGGCCCCACGCTACATGCTCTGGAGGATTCACACAACGTGTGTTGTCGTGGCAATCACACCACCGCTTTAGAGGACGACCGGCTCGGCGGTCCCCTGCCAACGCAGGTCGTCACCGCCTCGCGGCTCTGGCCACGCCCCTGCCCTCTGACCCCCCGTCTTACCACCCCCTGGCATTGCCCTGCTCCCCACCCGCTGTTCCCCGCAGTCGCTGCTCAACGCCCTCAACTGCGAGTCCGAGGCGCTGCGCAAGGTGCACCTGCGGATCCAGCGCCAGATCACCAACCTCGAGGCAGAGGAGCGTATCCTGATGCAGATGGCGCGCCGCGAGCGGCTCGCGGCGGGGCTGGAGGACCCGGGCGGGGGTGATGGACCAGAGGAGGGGTCAGAAGAGGCGCCGCGCGGCGACGGCACGGGCGTGGGGGGCGGTGCAGACGGTGACGAGGCCTGTGGCGAACCGCAGCAGCAGGAGCCGGGGGAGCAGCAGGAGGAGCAGCAAGTGCCGCGGGAGCAGCAGCACGAGCAGCAGGGGCGGCAGCAGCAGCAGCGACCACGAGGGCAGCCGTCGAGCGATGGGGTGGAGATGGACGATGGTGAAGGCGGCACCTCAAACGTCGCAGCAGCGGCAGCTGACGGCGAGGGACGCCTGCAGCAGGGGGTCGGACGTGCAGGCTCTGACGCGGCAGGATCGGACGACGAGGGGTCATTGCCATCGCGCCATAAGCGGCGGCGGCGCTGACTGGCAGCAGGTCGGGCCCGACGGCGACTCAAAGAGCTGCCGCATGACTGATCCCTTCCTGAGGCCGCTGACACCCTTGCTCAACTCAATGTTTTCCGTGTCCTTGCGCGTGGATGCGACGGGGCTGCAACAGCGAGCGCCCCATCTGCTGCTGAGACAAGCAGTGCCGGCTACTTAGGAAGAGCACAGAGTGGTCCCGTGCTGGAAAGCACATGCGAGTGGGCCGTTGCAATGTAACACTCAGTCCTAATGAAACGTGTGTTGAGCACTCCCTCCAAGGCTCAGCAGCTCCACTAATGCAGTGGGGTCTACACCCCATCAGTACAGGCTGCACCAGGGCAGATCCAAAAGCGCCGCACATGCGCCCAGGCGTCCGCGTCGCCGTGCGCGCACACATACCATTGATATCGTGTCATCCTCAGCACACCTCTCTGGGCACATGCGGTCCAGAGCCACCCATGCGGTCCGGAGCCGCGCCGGGCGCGGCGCGGAGCAGCGCGCGGGGCCGTGGGCTCAGCCGCGCACGCCCAGGCAGCGCAGCAGCCCCTTAAAACCTCTGAAGGGCACCTTGTAGTTGAAGCTCGCGTGCTTCTCCGCCCACCCGACCACGCCCCGCCTGTGGCGCTTCGGGCGCAGCCGCTTGTCGACGCGCAGCGCGGCGCCCAGGTCCAGGTTTGGCAGCTGCTCGGCGGCTTCCGACAGGATGGGGCGGCCGGACAGCTTGCCGCGGCCTGCAAACGAGGGGCCGGGTTGGGCAAACGTTTGCGTAGGCAATTGGGCTCGCTGTTGTTTTCTGGTGCAAAGTGGCAGGCAGGTTGTGTATAGACAAAGACTGCAGCTGCCACTCCTGGCAGACTCGCGGCCGCCCTGTGCCTGCTGGGCCGCCGCAGGACGCATCAAGATCTCACGAGCGCCCGGTGCATCATCGACAGCAGCTGCGCGAGCAGGGTGCTCGGGTGCGCGTGCTGTGACCCGCAGGTGCACCGCCAGAAACGCGCAAACCCCAGCTACGCCGCAGCGGCGGCGGCTGCGCCGCCCTCAAGAGTTGATTTCGCGGGAATCTGCATCGCGGTCTCCAGATCAGACCGCGATCTCACCAGGGATGATGGCCAGCACGTGAATCTCATAAACCACAGCCCGCCCCTTCAGCGGCGCCC